GTCTCACTGAGTTGCTTAAGGCCTCACTTTTCCGAGGCTGGCTTTGAACTCATGAGCCTCCTGTCTCAGCCTCCTGAGCCAGTGGGATTACAGGCGTGCGCCACCGCGTCCAGCTTGTGATGGGTAATTTTAAGTATAGGTATCACCTTGACTGAATTAAGAAACACCTAGAAGGAGGAGACTGGTGCGTGGGTCAGTGGGCTAAGGGGAAGATCCACCCTCAGCGAGGGTGGGCGCCATCACTCAGCCTGGGCCAGTAGAATGAAAAGACTGAGAAGGACAAGTGGACCTGGGACACTTCCCCTGCCATGAGACACCAGGCTTTATGTCCCTGGGACTCCAGGACGTGACACCGGTCCTCTCCCTCCCCGCCAACCAGTTTCTCAGGCCTTCAGCCTCGGATGGAGGATTACACCATCAGCTCTCCTGGTCCTGAGACCTCTGGACTTGGCCTGAGCCTCGCAGTCAGCATGGGAGCCGGGCCTTAGGTCAGTCTTGACTTCCTGTGTCCCAGTGCTCGGCAAGGATCCAGCACATGGTGGGCACTCGGCAGGTACGTGCTAAGTGGTCAGTGACCCGGGCCGGTCGGGTGAGCACCCGGCGGGGTGGTGTCTGGATTAAAAGTGACCGAGGCTGTCCACCTGCTGGGCGTCTTCACTGGCCGCAGGTGGACTCCTGACGGGTTCCTGTTGTCCCACTTGGGTGGAACTTGGCAGATGGAAGGCGCCCGGGGGAAATTTACCGTGGGCTGCCGTCCGACCAGGGACCCTGCAGCATCAGATGTGGTTCTGGCTCGCCGTGTTTGGCACAGTGCGACTTACATCATCCCTCTGGCCTGTTTCCTTGTCTGAAAAGTGGGGGTCACATGACACCTGCTCTGTGTTGGGAAGATTTGGGGAGGTCCCATGTGTACCGTGCTCAGGACAGTGGCACATGTTGGCATTGGTGATGGGTCATCGTCACGCCTGGGGGGTTCTCAGTGACACTTTGTAACAGAGGCAGGAATGCCACCGCCGGCCCCCTGGCCCGGGTGGCGCGAGCCTGCCTGCAGTAACCAGTGCTGGCCACCTGCAGTCATGAGGGACAGAGGCCAAGTCCTGACTCAGCCGCGTCGTGATGGCCCTTGGGGAAGCACTTGCCGTCTTCTGGAGTCGCAGGGTGGTTTCCAGGAGCCCCTGAGCTTGTTCATACTCCATTCTGCTTGTGCGCCGCCTTGGTCCGAAAATGTGCGTGAGACGCTTGACAAACTTAGTGAAGAGCAAAGGGAGGGGGCTCCGGAGAGTGAGCTGCCAAACACCTGTGGGGCCACAGGGAGAGGGCCGAGAAAGTGTGAGGGTGGATCTTCCCCTTAGCCCCTGAGGCCGGTGCCCTGACCGGCCAGTGGCTCAGCCAGGAGGGGACCTGCTGGGTTCCAGGTTCGCAGCAGCAGGCCCTGCCCTGGAGGCCCCAGCCCATCGGCGGAGCAGTCCCGGGCGCTGACGAGCCTGTCCTCGAAGGGCACAGCTGCTGGGTGTAACCGGATCCTGGAGGCCAGCCTGGCCGGGGAGCCCAGGGGCGGCTGGGTCAGTTCGACCTCAGCGGGTCCCCGGAGGCCCGTCCCACCAAGCAGGGTCCCCAGCCTCTTACCGTGCCAGGGAATTGAGTCTGGATGGCAACCCCGGGCCGCCCTTCACAACTCATGGCCAGCTGAGTCCAGCAAAGGCTGGGATGGGGGCGTGTGCCCCACAGGCAGGTCCCCAGTAAGGAAGAACCGTCCACCAGAAGGATCCAGGTCCCTGAACCCCACGGTGGTCACGGTGGGGAGCCGCTGTGTAGACCTTGGGCTGCAGTGTTACCTTCTGCCGGTCCCTGCTGGTCACGACCTCCTCTCCACCTGCCCTCCTCTGCCTGATGCCCTGCTGGCCTGATCTGCTCTGTCGCACTTGGCCAGCCCAGGGCCAGAACGCAGGGTGGAGAAGGGAGCCCAGGCACCCCACTTCCAAATGCTCCTGGGGAACAGCTCTAAGGGGCAGGCATTTCAGTGGAAGGAAGCGAGACACCTGGGTCCAGGGTTGGAGGAGGTGGTCCTCCAACACTGATCTCCGCGTGATTTCGGGGTCACGCACTGCATGGTGCTGCGCCTTGTGACACTGAAGCTTAGAGAAAGTGAGGTTGGGGCTCCCAGCCTGAGCGTCGAAGGAGCACCCGCAGCCCGCCAGGGACTCCACCCGAGCTGCCGACGAGGAAACTGAGGCTCTGGGGGTGAAGCGCTTGCTTAAGAACACAGTGGTCTGAAGCCAAGTGCTGTCCTCGGCTAGAGAGCAAGGGGACTGGATGGCAGGAGGGCACCCAGATGACCTGGAGGAAGAACCAGAGAGTAAGGACAAGCCACAAAAAGGGATATTTTGAGGGAAAGAATGTCATGGGTGGAGGGATGGTGCCAGATGCCAAAGGTCAGCTGCTCCTGTGACCCAGTGCCCACTGCCCCCAGGCAAGGTCACCTGGTGTCAGGTCACCCCTGTGCCTGCTCTTCTTTAGACAAAGGGGTGTGATCTCCTGGCCTACCTGCCCGTCTCCCCAGGTTCAGGGACAAAATGAAGCAGGTGGCTGCATTCTGAAGTGCTCTGCACAAGCTCATTTGCAAGATAAAAGTGTCCTTGGTGGGGTGTGTGGCCAATGGCAGACCTGAGGCTCTGAGTTCAGCCCCAGCCCCCAACACGGGCGAGGCCAAAAAAGAGTCAGCACTGAGTGTGTTTCCTTGAGATCTGTGCATTTTTTAAAATATATTTTATAGTTGTAGATGGACACAAGATCTTTGTTTATTTTTATGCGGATCGAACCCAGTGCCTCAAACGTGCGAGGCAAGCGCTTTGCCACTGAGCTACAGCCCCAGCCTTGAGATCTGTGAATTTTTTTCAATGAAAAAGTATTGAAATGGTGTGTCTATGTCCACAAGATCGGTGGATGATGGGATGCAGGACACGAGGCTGGACACCTGAGGGGTTTTCAGGAAGCTGGTTTATTGGCTGCAGCTGGCCAAGAGTGTGGCTCATGTCTAAAATTCTCCTCTGGACCATGAGTCTAGAAATTATTTGAACTTTTACCCAGTGTGTGTGTGGGGAGTGTTGGCGTTTTACATTTTTGCAAAAGTTTACATAAAAGTAATTTTTTTTTTCCCTCGCAAACTGCCATTTACAAACCACGATTACCAAACTACGGTGCCCCCTGCAGAAGATTTTGCTGATAGCTGATATCTAGAGGCTCAGAGGAACTTACATGTTACAAATATAGTGGGGGGGGCTGGGGTTGTGGCTCAGAGGCTGAGCGCTTGCTTCCCATGTGTGGGTCACTGGGTTTGATCTTCAGCATCACATACAGAAATAAATAAATAACACAAAGAGATTGTGTCCATCTACAACTGAAAAAAAATATGGTGGGGGTTTCTGCTTATTATGGTAAGAGTCTTCTGTGGTCTCTGGGCTGTTTCATTTCTGCCTTTGAATGATCTTTATTTATTTATTTATAATTATTTATTTACTTTTTAGTTTTCGGTGGATACAAGCCCCAATCATTATTTATTTAAATCAAACATTATCATCATCCTCTTGGCTTAAAGCTTTATAGGATGTCACAATCTTAGTTGTCATATCTTTTTTTTCCAACAGCTGCTTCTAGAGTGGACCCAATAATTTTAATGCACAGGGAGCCAAACATGGGAGTAATAAACAGGTTCATGGCAGAATACCTACTAGGCCAATTAAGCTTTTGAATCTACCAAGAGTAGAAAACCACAGGATGTCAAAGGCCGGAGCAGTTTGATTAGCAATAATTTCCAGTACAGTCTGTAAGCCAACACTCCAATGTGGCAAGACAGTTCTGTAGCCCCAGCTGCCCTCCAGGGTCCAGGCAGCAGGACCAGAAGTGGCGATAATTCTCTGGGGTGACCATTCATCCTTACCCCAAGTTTGTTGACCTCCTAGATCAAATCCTTTTCTAATGGATCCCTAGGTCTTTTCCAGAGACAAATAGTCATCCAATTATAGCATCTTTCTGGTGGGGCAAGTCCTAAATATATATATAATCACTCCCTAATTATAATAAATTGACTTGACCCACAGTTCACAAAATTTCTACCACTGAGGCAAGAGTGGGGTAGAGCCCCCCAAGATTAAAAAGGAAACCAAACTAAGTGATAGACCAACATATAGGTTAAACAGTATAAGT